ATTTATGCTCTGGATTTTACTAACTTAAAGTTGTTTGCTTTTTTGCTAATTTTTCCAGTTCGAAGATCTTCTCTGCTTCTGAAATTGGCACTAGTAGCGTTACACCTTGTCTTCGTCGGCTTTCTCTTCTTTTTCGATGAAGAGTTTATTGAGAAAACTAAACGAGATCCATGGTAGTTACTCAATCTCTCCAGCTAATTTAATCACTGTACTCTTCTAAAAAGCTTAACTTTTGTTACTCTTGTGATTCTCTAACAGGTACATGGCTTCTTATTTCTTGTTGTTCTCTGTCACGCTTCTTCAGTATTTTATAACTTCTGGCTCTTCTCCTGGGTAAAACTAACTATCCATGCCTACATGTGTGTTCATCTTTTTTCTGTAATTGAGAGAACATAATGTACTAAGCCTTCTGTTTGCTATTAGGTATGTTGTTGATGCAATGAGGGATGTTTGCGAGGCAAATGCAGTGTACGGAAACACTCCAGCGACGATCTCGATGTAAGAATTGTTGTTTCGGTGTTTGTAATAGCAAACTCTTGTGGAAGTTGATGGAACAAGGGGATGGAATTGAGTTCTAGTTTAACTGTGTCTGTCTTACTGTTGTGTGATAAGAACCATCACACTTATCATTGTGTTTATACTTGTATTTATGTCGTTATTTAAGCGAAGACAACATGCTTCCAGAAAAAGTGAGAGCTTAGTTGTTACTGTGGAAGGAGAATCAGCTTCAAATGCAAGAAGGACTCCAGCTTCCCCTTGGGGGAAGTTGGTTTTGGACTTGTATCCTCCAGGAACATCCATAAGGTACGTAATGAATTTCAAACACGCTTCTAACTTGGTGAATCTTGAAAGAATCAGCTTATAACTGGTAATCAATTAGTAGAACGGAGTGTACTGAATTTTTTCTTTTTATATAACCTGCAGAAATTTGACATGCAGCTATTGTCATGTGGAGCAGGTCAGTAGACTGAGTTTTCATGCATTTTAATCTTGTAGCACTTAATTGGCCACTGTAGTTGTTCGACTTGTTTTTAGTTTTTTACTCTGTTCGTTGAAGTTTTCCTTCCCTAAACAAGTGATGCTTTGCAGCCTCCGCGAGCCAAACATTGTCATGATTGTGATCGATGTGTTCTTCAGTTTGATCATCACTGTGTTTGGCTGGGAACATGTATAGGCCAGAAAAACCATTGTAAATTCTGGTAAGCTTGCAAAAGCTGAACTAGTACTATTACATTGTCCAATAATGGTAGAGATAAGATAACAAAGCTGGATTGTATATGAGTTTGAGGTTATGCATCAGATTTTTTGTTTTTAGACCCTGTAAACGTGTTTCTGCGATATCAGGTGGTATATCTGTGAGGAGACGGCTCTAAGCATCTGGACACTCATCATGTACATTGACTACCTGAGTAATGTAGTAAAGCCTTGGTACAATACTTTTTCATCTCCCCTCCTGTTTTGGCCAATTTCGTAGCAGCTCCGGTTTGT